ATTCAAATGTTTTAAAATGTTTTGTTTTTCATGAAACGCTGCTGCGGGTGTAAATTTCATTTAGTGCGTTTAACACTGGTGGGTGAAATCAGTCGACCAGAAGCAGGCTCAGGGAGGAGCGGCCATCTGCTGTGACCATCGGGGGTGAGAGGAGGAAGACAGGATAAAGACATGCTGTGGAAGAGAGCCATAGATTCATAATAACTAATGATGCAGTGCAGAGAAAAAGAAGGAGAAACACCCAGTGCATCATGGGAATCCCCGGCAGTCTACACCTATTGCAGCATAACTAAGGGAGGATTCAGGGTCACCTGGTCCACCTAACTATATGCTTTAGCAAAAAGGAAAGTTTGAAGCCTAATCTTAAAAGTAGAGATAGTGTCTGAATCCAAACCGAACCATAGCATTTGTTCTGTTAATGATATTTTAAAGTTATTGTATTTTAAGGTGTCACAGTTGAGTTGTGCTTTTATTAAGTAATAACTCTTCATCCTCCACTAATCCATTAACATCACCGGCTGTTTGTTTATTGTTTGCTTCAGAAATGATAAAGCGATGAAGAATGTTTCAGTCTTCGTTTTAATTTAAGCTCTTTAAGCGTTGATCAGCTGTCCCAGAATAAATGTACCAGCTGTGACAGGAAGTCAGTCAATCTCACTGCGATGCTGTTTCTAGTGCTGGGGTCCTTCAGAGTTATGATGAAGAATATTTTACATAAAGTTGACTAAAGGTCAAAGTGAGTTTGTTGTTTTCATGTTTGGTTTTTTGCAGGTTGGTTCTGAATTATGAGAACGTCCTGGCCCACCGCAGCTTCAAACTGATGTAAGTGCACGCACACACACACACACACACACACGTCAGGTATTCATATCTTGTGGGGACATCTAATTGACATAACGCTTCCCCTAGCCATTTACTCTGTTATCATCCTGACATTAAAACCATATTTTGAATCTCAAAAATGCCCTCATACTTGTGGGGACACAGGTGTAGTAAACTTCCTGTTTCTGGTCCCCATAAAGATATGAACACACACACACACACACCCATATGCATTAATATATTATATCTATACTTTTATCAGTCCTGCTGCTCTCTTGAGAACTTCCTGTTTTGCTGTTAAAGATATTCGATGCTCTGCTCGTTGGTGTTTTTCAGCTTTGCTCTGAGTCAGCGGAATTACAAGGTGTCGGCACGGCGCTGGTTCACGCTGGACGCCGTGGAGCTGGAGTACGACGGTACCAAAGCCACGTTTAACGGCAGCAGGAACATTTACGCTCCCGCCGAGTACTCGTACCGCTGCGAGTCCGTCACCAGCTTCCAGTGGCCGCTGCTCATCCCACGCACATCCAAAGACCCAGCCAATCAGTGGAGGGTCTCCTTTGAAGACTTCCAGGTAAGATTAGCACTTGTTTG